AAAACTTTCAAGCGACTCAAGAGAGTAAGTAACTCAGATAGAACTTAGTGTTATTATATAATAATAGAATCTTTGTACTTAGTAATATAATACAGGTAGTTCAACACATCTTAGAATGTAAGAATTATCGCCGGCTTTCACGTTTAATCTTCTAAGTTTTGTGTAAAGTATGAAACTATTCTTGGTATAGATTGTTGTCAAAGACAACTGGGAGTTGACTTAGGAATTCAAGCCAGAAACTTGTATCACATAGTAATAACATTCAGGAACAACTCTTCGAACAATCACGAGATAATCTTTGTTGGTACTTCTAGCAGACCGAGGATAAATCTGATTTTAATAGAATAATACCAATTTAAACTCTAAACACCATCAGTAGTGGGCGTTATAGAAATCAATTACACTTATTTTTGATATTGTAACTATTAAATGGAAAATCAATTATTTACGTAACGAATAAAACAAGGAAAAATTTATGCCTTGCAAATATTTCTAAGTATTGATTCTTATTTTACAGCCATATATTTGTTTACGCTCAAGATAAGTCGAGATAATTCTTTTCTTTATCAGAGAGTCGACGAACTTGATACTAAACGATTATATCTTTGTAATTATCTATTTCAATCATATTTATTACGTCGATAAGTGATAAAAACGCTCCGAGTAAAAAGGGTCTTGGGTTTTCATTAGTTAAAAGACACTGAGACAATAAATTATTTAAAATATTCACCTCGATATGTGACTGTTTAAAATTGAATACTTTTTTATTATAAGAATTAATGTAACTGTAAATATTAACAAACTAATAGATATTAAAAAAGTCTAAAATAACTTAAACTTATTTTTCTTCAGAAGACTAACAAAAGTATATAATTTTGTCTAAAATTGTAAAGTGTAAGATTAAAGTATTTACTAAGGTAAATATTTTATGTTTATGTGCACTTTGAGTTTTTGTGTTTACAATAATACAAAAGCGGGAAAAAGCGCATGAAAATCATCGTTTTTCATGAGCATACATTTAACAAATGTTTCTATATGAACCGTAATGTTTCCAATGCCTCAAAATGTCATATCACTGACTATGCTCCGTACGTTTTATAGAGATTTAAGGATATACCGCTAAAAGGTACGTTTTTAGTAAATCACTCCGTTTTCAGAAAGATGAATACGTAAAACAGGTCAGTATATTTCTCGATTTAAGCTTCTTTCTATGTCTATAAACTTTTAAAGGTATTTTGCCTTCTCATTAACAAACTATAACTTAAAAAAGCATATATAATTTTAATATATCACTACTTTATGTATCAACTCTTGTATATTAAACAGTAATTTAAAATAAATTCAAATCATTTTTCATATGCAAAATAGTGTGAGATAAAATTTTATCACGAATTTGGTCGTGTAACGTAATATTAATGTATTTATTATTATTTATTAATTTATTTTATTTATTACAATTATGTTGGTATTTTTACATTTATAACACAAGATTTGGTATCGAATTGTTCCTTTTAGGGGTGCGTGTCTCTGGTTGCTGATGAAGGCAAAAACCACGGAGATCTAAACCGGACCGCTGTCACTACCAACTCTAGATAATATCGCGGAATCCAATTTTGTGGTTTTATTATTGCCCGCTACGAAAATGTTTATCATTTTTCTTATATCTACGTTTTAAATTCGATATAAAGAAACTATTAAATATGTTTGTATTAAAAAATTGATGAAAGAAATACCTACGAATATTAATCAAATAAATTAAATTAATAAACTATGTAACATGAAAGCAAATTACGAGCAAAGTCTAAGTTTAATGTTGCCAAGTGGTATCATTTGGTAATAGTGTGCAAAGTCGGTAATAATATTTGAGAAATGAACGGTATGTCACCAACACGCTACCCGGCAGCTTGATGAATGATTCAAAGTAATGCAACAGATCCCTATCTTCATAATGAAAAACGTTTACTTTGCTTCCGTCTTAACACAATATAATAGTGAAATAACATTGTTTTATCCCGTAATAATGCAATTAAGGTAATTGTATTTACTATGGTCTAAAATATAAATTATTCGTTTTATATTGTCTTATAAGATTAACGGGGTTTTTCTGTTTTTATCTTTAAGTGCTTTTACTTTTTAGCTTTGTTTGTCCTTCGTCCCTGTTCTTTTTACGAAAAAAACAAGCGATAAGACATCTCTAGTTTTACACTTCTTTGCGAAAAGAAAAAAATATAGGCAGAATGATTAATAACTTTGGTGAAGTGGGCGTAATTTATGCAAAAAAAAATTGTTGACTCTTTTATTTTCTCTCCCAAAACCGCTGTGTCCGTTTAAACTGAGATTATGATCTTTAATACTGGGCCGTAGTTTGGCCAATCACTGTTATATACGTATACTAGCTTTCCGCCCGCAGCTTCGCCGCGTGGAGTTCGGTTATATCGCGTTTCCAAGAGAACCTTTCAAAAGTCTGGGATAAAAACTATCCTATGTTCTTTCTCAAGGTCAACTCTATCTCTGTACCGAATTTCATTAAAATCAGTTCAGTGGTTTAGGCGTGAAAGCGTAGCAGACAGACAGACAGACAGACAGACAGACAGACAGACAGAGTTACTTTCGCATTTATAATATTAGTAGGGATTATCAAAATAATTATAGTATGCAAGAAATAATATGGGGTAATAGTGAAGATATGTGATGTTGAATTTAGGTTATCGAAAGGTTCTCAAACTTGTTTAATTTTAAGTTACCAGTCAATTCATTAAAAAGATATCCTTAACAGAAGGAAGAGGCGAAAATTATGTTAAAGAAAAGACTACAGCTGGAACAGATTAATAAACTCTTACAATTTGTTAAGCCATAAAATTTAATCCTTTTATCTTGAAATTATATTATAATTATAATGTTATATGAACACAATTTCAACATAAATTATAAATACAAACTTATTATTTGATTATCTTACACATATTAAGAGTCAATTAAAAATTTTATACTTAGCCGTAACTGTTGTTTTGTTGTTATAAAATTTAATAACACACATACACACAGTGTGATGGTAATTATATCATAAAAGCCTGTGCTCATTGCCATGAATTTCATTTTGACAGTAACGGCTTAACATGCTTCGCAACTTCATTAAATTTTAAACATGCATGGTTTCGAATCCCGTTTATATTGTTGATAGAACAGCGAGAATGCTATTATTTATCGCCCCTTATATATCATCCTTATTCAAGATTAGGTTTATTTAGTACGATCACTTACCGGTACGAGTGTGTAGTTATGGCTTCTAAGCGCCTAATAGACGACGATGCGGTTGACTAATTCGATACATTTTGGGCCACGTTTCAAACTAAACATTGATAGGAATTCTTTTTAGGTATTACAACATCTAAATAAGTTAAACGTTCCGCTTATTAGAATATATGTATAATTTAATCTTGTATGTAGATTTCATTTAGCAATTTAAACCTAAATTTCCAAGCAATATCGCATAGTGCTCATGAAACATTATGTGGGCATACAAAGGCATTAGATATTTAACCCCCATACGTTGGACTACAAAGCAAGCGCCATTCTTGTCCGGATTATAATGAGTAACTTTGTCGTTACCTGCATACTGTGATGCCCTTTGTACCATCTAAGTTGCCATATTAAAATTTTGTCTTAGGAAATGGTTCAATTTTGTCACATTAATTGCCTTTGCAGGATGTTATTAGTATAAACTATATGCACATTTTATTATTCATAATATAATTTGGAATGCTGATTGAAATTTGATAATTTACTTTTATCAGAAACGTATTTATTTAAAAGACTGAGTCATAAAAATATCGGAATAATTTCACACTTTCGATGAATAATTATACTTATTGTTTCTTTAAACATATATTATATGTATATAATAAAATAATTAAAGTTTCATGTGTAGTACCTATATAAACAGGGGGTCATAAAAACGGGTAACAACAAAATATATCAAGCATTAGTTGAGTAGCGTGATACAAAATCTAGAAATATATGACATAAGCGGCAACATAATCCAATTTATTTTATAATCACAAATTATATATGTCCAGTCGCCGTACGCGTACAATTACGGCTTACAAGGATAATTTTAATAGGATTTTTTTGCGGTAAATCGTTTCACTAATAGCACGAGTAGAGTCCAATATCACGGCGTTTTTGCAAAACGATAAAAATGGAAATAAAGTAACTTGTATGGCGGGTCTGTTGCAAGATGCAGAAATCTGTGCGGAGTATGGGCGTGGGTGAACCGGTCTAGACAAGATGAACTTTAAGGATCGTACAAAATAAAATAAAGCTCGATGCTTCGCGACAGCGACCCGGGATGCTCATAATGTCCAATTCTTCTCGAAGGATCAAGGGTGGACCATAAATCTTCTGGCAACATATTTTAACCTATTATTAAGATGCATGTAGATCGTGAAGCCGTCGATTATAATGTAATCAGTAATGGGTCGCCTCGGCTGCTTTTTATTTGTTGTCGATTTAATCTGTTTATAGGGTTGATTTTTTGTTATGCAAAATGTTTAAAGTTGTAAGTAGAATATCAGTCTGAACATCATTAATAAAGCAGAACAACGTTTTTAATAAAGGAATATAGAAAACTCCCCAGAGAAAACCTTTAATTTACCTTGAGTGGACACAATTGGAAGAAAACACAAGAGAGGGCGTCGCGCCGGATTAGATTAGAGCAGATAAGATTAGTGGCGTCGCAAAAGCGCCGGACCGCAGCCGCACGGCTCCTGCCATGTGAACCTGCTAATTGCGATTACCTACCGCCAGACAATTCGGTATTAGCAGCATGCTGGCCAACTGCGACATTTTTTATGCACTCTAGTTTGAAATCACTACAAAATACGTTCTTATCTATCGTATCGAGAGTTACAACGTACCTTGGCCCTGCTTGAATTACGAAGGCGAGTCGCGAGAAGTTTTGCAGGCTTGGGCGGGGCTGCACCCTAATGCAATGATTCATATTATTCGGTTTGCGGGCGAGTTGAACGTCTTCCATTATTGTCATTCATCGGAGGAAGTGGGCGGCGCGGGGCGGCGGGTGCTAGCGGCGGCCCCCGCTCTACGCCGGCAGTCAGTCGCTCGCCGACACTCTCGCTGCCCAGTACATGAGAGACGCGATGCAACTTGCCTCCGCTTAACGCATTCAATCCGTGTGTGTGTGCCTTCGATTCGTGGCCGGAGCCCATTCGATTGGTCCTTAGTGCACCCGGTCATATCCTGTGATCCTGTGCTACTTGCAGTGAGCCGTTGAAGGAACTATCGCAGTCAGCAGTTTGGAACCCTCGATCCGACGGCTCAGCTGACCGGCGCGCCCATTGCCCAAACGCACGGTGAGTGCGATCGATCATTGCATGCACGCGCTCAACACTATGTTTCTATTTTGAGTCGAGCGAAATACCTACAGCCGATAAATAAAATCAGTCCGATAGATCCGTAAAGTGTCGCCCGTAAAGGTTGTCAATGCTTGGAAATGGATATTATTTTTGCAATGACAAGTACGTAACGAGTGAGTCTGTTGATAAACAGTGTCGGTTTACTCAGAATGAGAAGTACCAGCGTGTCCATGGAAAATTATTATGTTATGAATTGTAAAACCGCACGAACAAGTTAATGTAAACTTTTAAAAGTGACCCTTACGTGCGTCGCTTAATGTAAAGGGTCATGGTTTCGAGAAATTCAATCATTAGTTTTCATTGAAATCAGCTGACTCTCCGTCGGACGTCGCTAGATGATAAGATAGTATAATATATGTACATCTTTAAATCCTTCTATATGCATCTGTAACCAATATTTAAATAAAATGAAAAGAAAAATTATGCCGAAAAACATTTTTTAAACGATTACGTTAGTTACGAGCAAAGAGCCTGTTATCTCTTATCAATATGCTCTTGCGAAGGTCGCACTGATAAATGGTGACAGTAGCTGTAGAATGAGGAAAGCTTTCTGTATTGAAACTGCATGAAAATTCGTTATATAAGATAATGAAAATGAAATATAAAAATATGCGAGTTAATGTGAAAATAAAAATTAACATTTTTTTATCGGGAGTAAAAGAATCTTAACAATTCGAATGAAATTAGTTTTGAGTGTTACGAGCATGAAATATTCAAACGATATACTGAATAATTAATACTAATCCTTATCTAGACAAATATGTATGGTCAACAAAACAATGATTTTATACAATCCTAATTGATCGTAAATTATTCTGCAGCGGAAGAAGCCTCTTACCAAGTTCCGGTACAATCGCGTGCCCAATGCATACATAATTATTAATAAAAGGCACCAAGTGTAGCCCACGTTTTGGAAATAAACCTTAAAGTATTGAATAATTCATAGTTATAATTAATAATAGTTGGAATAGTTCGGACAAAATTATGCTAATTCACACATAAACGATACGAATTTCGTCAAACTACTTTTTGAACATTTCGATCAAATATCCCAAATATTCAAATTAAACCACCAGTCCATTTAGGTTTTCTTTCAAATATATTATGATTCCAGACTTATATTATAGTTAGTCATATCTACATTGCTTTAACCCGTCATTCTCATAAAGTTAAAAATTTTTCATAAATAAGACTAGTTACAATTACAATTATTATAGCTAAGAATTATAAGAAGTTATTAAGTTTCTGAAACAGATACGATAAATGTAAATATATCATTAAGAAACTCGAAGCATTCATTAATCCAATTTTTCATTTATTTGAAAGTAGATCTGAATATTTTAAGAATAATGTAACAAACCTCAGAATGCCAATGGTCAAATGTTATGTTTAAATATCATTATACGATCATTACTTGTCATGCTAATGGGGGAGATAACATTATTTGTTTAAATTAGTTTAATGACGCTATAACCAAACTACGATAAGTGTTTAAATATATCATAATACATTAATTATATGACAATAATGATTTGTCATTATTAAATTATAATCGACTCTAAAGTCCATTGGTATGGAATTACAGGAATTTAAAATCCTGTCTATTTGTTTTTGTAACTAAAATTAATTCTTTACAGCCAATTGTATTCTTTGCCGTTTGAAGGAAAAGGAGGTTTTATATTAATATATTTAAATTTTAATATTTTGAAGTCTCCTTCAAACTAATTGAACTATTGTCCGATTATTCAGCAAAGAAGAATGCGTCCATCGCATTAGGGCAAATAGACTACCATATCTCGTATACAAAAGAGTATTGACACTCAGATAAGCATATCTCATACAGTATACTAATGTATAGTGGCTGTATATACTTTGTTCTCTTATCTTGTACGGTTAGCGCATTTATGGGCCCGATAAGCATATAAATGCTCTCTCGCCATGTCTCTACGTCAGACATACCGCTATTTACACTTTAAATTCACTATGCATTAGCGAAACCATGCTATTATTGATATGTTTTCAAACTTCAATACAATCAAACTTAATTACCGTACATATTTACTTAAATTTAATATAAAACAATAGAAAAATAAATATAGTAATGTAATTTAACGGAACTGTTTATTTAAGTATTAGTTAAGTACAGCATCGCATTGTCAAAGTTCGTGAGTTTTATTCGTTTTATTGGTGTAGCCGGTTCGTTCACTCAGGCTATATTTAGTGACCGTGCCGTCGGTATTCAGTCGAGCGCTGACCTACCACAACATTACAGCGATACATTTTGGGCGCACGCGCAGCCTTCGATGCCTCCAGGATTTATCTCTTGAATGTTAATGATCTGGTAACTTTACACATTTTTTTTGTTACGCTCCTAAGAATAATAACTCATTCAACGCTTTCAATTTATATAAAAAACTATCTCGTCCTGTGGGTGTCTTTCTTTTGATTTGTAAATGTTGTTCAATCATTCAGAAGTCAATTGTCTGGCTTCTAGAATAAATTGATAGTTGCTTTTTTTTTGTTAGTTTGTATTATAACTTATGAAGAAACATAAAGAATGTTTTCGTAACCATTCTAAGAGGCAAACATAAATATGACGTCATTGTATAATAACAAATAATATAATCTTTACGAAAACAGTTTAGAGTAATTTCGCTTCTCAATTTATGAAAACTACTACTTAAGTAGTATCTCAATTTCATGTAGTTATTGATAAAATTGATTTCTTTTTTTGACATGAAGTATAATTTAGTAGTACTGTAAAATTTAATCGTGTTTTCGTATGTAGACTTATTTACATATTTATCGTTAAATTTCATTGGCCCTTATTATACTATTGCCATCAATTTGAAACAAATTTGCAATTGAAATAAGTTTACTGTTACACGAAATTCTTTGTACAAATTTTGTTATGAAAATCTTATATTTTACTTTAGAATAAAAATGTATCAAATAAAAATAAAAGGTTTGACAATAAAATAATGAGGTACATAAAGAATGAGTCTGAATAAACAAGACGCCGACGTGTCAGCTATACGTTTTACAAGCCTTCGATTATGGCTTAGTAATGTGTTCCATTTCATATAACAATCTGCTATATTAAAAACTCGACGCTATATGTTGCTTGTATTTATAAATCAAATGACGTGATACTTAAAACTAAAGTTAGAACACTTGGAGTACATAGTTTTTTCTTTAAATAAACATATGCATGTCGCAATTTTATACAGATAATATAAGTGTATTGTATCTGTGACTGATGAGGTGCGTCGTTGTGGCGCCAGTGCGGTCAGACGTCGCTATTAGGTCTCAGATTGATCGGTGCTTCGTCGCCTGCCGTATCGAATAGACGTCTTGTTTTATCACCACTAAATATACGGCTATGTAATAGTAAATATATGTAACGTCGGTACATAACGTTTATTATGGCTCGGATATAAGGCTTCCCGTCTGCCAAGAATAATTTAAACAGCCGTGCCTTATTAGATACGGACGCCCAACCCTGGCCTACATGTTAAACAGTCCGCTTATGAAGGATTCCTCAAATGATCGACTGAATAATAATTTTATTCGCTTGCCAAACACAATGACGCGTATATTTATTGACCTTTAAATAGTCACAATGTCTATAGACGATAGCGAAAGCTAGATATATGTATACACGAACATTGAGATACGATAAATGTAGATATGGTTTTACGTATTTAAGATAGTGACGTCATCGAAGTGTATTTTATTCTTTACGTTCTGTTATCACAGTTATTTGTTGCAGTTCAATAATACATAAGGTCTCCTGTTAACAAGGTGACTGCATTACGAGCCTGTTTTGTATTCGTTACGTGTTGTTCGACACGTCGTTAGGCTTATTTCGTTTAATTTTGTGATAAAGCTACGATAATGTATACACGCTTTTTAAATTGAATGTATTTTTCGCTTTCATATATTCGATGTATTGTTACAACTTATACCGCCGACATTATAAAAGTGGAATGTTTTTAATACTTATTATTTATTTTGAGCATAATTTGGTACTATTCTCAAATTGGTTGATGTACGTTTGCATTAAGTCTGTTTTATAAAGACATATTTAAGTACTAAAAGTATCTTTAAGATTGTTATTAGACGGTATACCTCATAATGTAAAGTTTCCTTGCATTTTATATTCCAACTGATTTTTATTATCCCAGATACTTAAAAGTTTTATTTTTGAATCGGAATCGGTTGTTAAGATCTGATTATAGTTTTTATATAACTGTAATCAAACTCGCTTCTATCTATATCAAACTTGTATAAGACACTCTAAAGATTATTTCTGATAACTTTCAAGTCTTTCATAGTAATGAAATAACTCACCGATAGTCACTGAAGCTGACGAAAATAGTTTAAATTCAATCAAAATAAAAAGGTAATGTTAATTTCGTTCATATTGACGTAATAACGCCAGTATTTTCGAGAACTATTCATTTGTCTCAATAATTCTTAGTTGTGTTATAGTAATATTATTCAAAAAGTTGAATTAATGTATAGAAATTTTAGTTTAAATTCCAATTGTATGCTCAAACTCGTAAATTTTTTGTTAACAATGGAATCAGTTACATCTATTTATCTTATTTTATATATATTCTGTCGTATTTCGATTTAGATACACATAACAAGTGACTTTATTGGCGACTCGGTCGTGTGTAGCACTTTACGGCCAGTAAAATGTACTTTAATGTTCTTAGCTAGAATCGAGTCCTCCACTCAGTTCCTTTGCATTCAAATCTAGTACAATAGAAACACTAAACAGTTAT